CACGTCGGCAGCTCACAGTGTGGGTGGTTGACCGTATGGCAAGCAATGTTGTCAGAGGCAAGAATCCTGAATCATTCGATCCATTCTGTGAGGATTTATGGTCATGGCTTGTCAAGGTCTTGCCGTATTTGCCTGCTGGAGGGATCCTCTGACGATGACCCCCTCATCAGGCATGTGAGACGGACGCAACGGTGACCGGTGTACGTCTGTGTGAGGTTGAGTCTCCCCGCAGGCCTTGCAATTGCAGAGGGTCGATTGAGTATGTCCATCTTGGCTGCCTCCGCCACTGGGCCGGGAACTGAGAGCACTCTGGCGACTGTAGGGCTATTGTTTCAGCTTGGGCCACCAGTTCTATCTGAAGCCCCCAAGCCGTCTTCACGCCATCGGCTCACTGTCGGACGGACCTACTCGCAGCCCCACTCATGCCGAGGTCAAGGGACGCCTCAACATTGCGGATACACCAGAAGGCTCGTACTTCTATCGGCCCTCGGCTCAGTGACATCAATGCCAAGACAGTACACCCTGCCTCAGTATTGTGTCACGTGCCGTTCTGGGTGTCATCGCTGAGCACCAGGCTGCTTGCGCTTATTGCTGTTGGAGAAATGTTTGTCGAGTGTTCTTTTAGCCTTGCGCGCTCTGAGGCCGTTGCCTTGTGAACTGTGCAAGGCAGGAGACCATCGATGGTAGGGATATGTTGTGCTGACTCGTATTGCCTTGGACTTGTTCATGCACTCCCAGCAGTCTTGTCACTGTCAGGCGGCATATCCAGCCTCAGTTACCAAAGGCGACGGCCCAAGCGCTGCACAACTAAGTAGACATGTTGTGCACAGTCTCGCTCGGCTTTGGCCAGTTGCAAATGTTCCGTCTCTCTAAGGAGAGGATAAGATGCCTCTTGTGGAGGTCCCGAAGACAAAGCCCCCCTTCATTGCTTGATCCCAAGTTTCAATGCTACTGTACACTATGTGCGGCTGTGTGTGGGCCACCAGGTCCTCGAGAACATGATGCGTGATGCGCAGCAGTTCGCGGCATAGCGCTGTAAGAGCGCAAGATATATCAAGAGATTGATAGACGCATTCGCTTTTTGAAAGCTCGGCTGGCGAGGCACAGCAGCCGCGGCTTGCATGTGGTGATCGGCCTAAGCGAGCAAGCGGTGGGCAGGGTTCGTGGCTTCCTGAATTTGTCCTCAGCGCCGATTTCAGGTGTCTCTTGCAGAGAACAAAGTCCTAAAGCTTGGTAGAGGCCGAACCTGGCAGATGTGCTTGCAAGGGCTCGCGCATGCGCACGTAGCATGCCGGAGACAAACAGTGGTTGTCACCATCCCTCTCGCCAAGTCAGCAAAGTAAATGGAAGAGTTCATCGTGTCCGATTGCTTTTGCGCGGTGTCCTGCAGTGGATGTAGCTTCTGTAGGCCACGAAAGCAATGTGCGCATTGCAGATGTGCCTGATTCTGAGCTCTCTACACGCGCTTCAGAATTGTTGGGGGTGTTTTCGGGAGATGAGTCTAAGGTCGATCTCGCGCTGTCACGCCATAATTCGCTATCAGAAAGGCCTGCCGGTTGTGTGCCAAGCAAAATGAAGTCTTCCGGGCCCACAGGCAGCTTCGTGCTGGAAGACCATAACTCCAAATTCGGCAGCGCTCCCAGGAGATCTCCGTGCGGCCTTCAGGCCTAGTGACGGTAACTTGGCGGTGGAGCAGGTACTCTTGTGGCCATGAAAAAGCCACGCCCACTTGATCATAGCAGCGCTATCTCGATTCAGGTTGGGCCCGGAAGCTCAGGCTCTGAAAGACAGTCGTCAGTCCTTCCAAGCCCATGGTTCCAAGCCCAAGGCGCACTGTTTTGTCGCTGTCTTTGCAGTCGGAGCCGCCTGGCGGGCCGGTGCGCGGAGCCAGAAATCACATGAAAAGCTGCGGAACCCAGCAGAAATTCCAGGTCAATAGCCCTGCCACGACAGAGGAAGAAACTCCAATGCAGGGCACTGAGATTGAAAGTGCTTTCCCTGTCACCATGTGCCGGTGATCATGTCCAGCGCTCCCAGCTGCCGCTTGCACCCTGTAGACTGCAGCAATGCGAGGCGGCAACTGTGATGTGCACAGCATGGTCCGGCTGCGGGAGTCCTGAGAGCGACCAGTGGCTCGATGCTAGACGCGACTAGACACTGTCTCGTGAGAAAGATCTTGTAAGGCCTGAGCCATCGCACTCTCCTCTAGTCGCTCCAACAGAGTGCCTCGGAAAGCACAGCAGAAGCAGGAAGGCTCGTGTGTCAGGCGAAGAGTACAGCGCTTGGCTGGGCATACACAACAGTTTCAGGGGCGCACAAGAGCTCATGCACGCTCAGCACCCTCACAAGCCTCAATCTGCATGTCAACGTAGCTAACATGGGCCATCAGAGCAGCAAAAGCCAAGTCTCGCGCTTGCTGTGAATCGATCAAGCAATTTCCGATGCCTTTCATCTCCATGCAAGTCACAAGCTGAGGCACCTTACAACACGCCTGAGTTCACATCGCGACCTGGCAATGCCAGCAGGTGGAGTTTGAACCACGAGCGTAGCACGTAAATAGCGAAAGTCAAACATTGTGTGCAGCAGCCCTTCCCAGATTTGCGGATGAGCAGTTTGCCGATCGCGTACATTCAGTTCATTCCGTTCATATCACCATCTCACGTTTATTTCCCGCCAGCTTCTTTCGAGAAAGGCCTTGGCTGTTCAGTGTTTGCAAATTCGGCCGGCGGAGAAGTGCCCGGTTTGTCGATGTGGCAGTTGAGCCGCTCCAGCGAGGGCACACCAGCTCCAGCAAGTCTCGAGCAAGTGCGAAAACGATGCCTCGTCGTAACCGGGCTCTGGCAATGTCCTGGACTCTGTCCCGGCCGTGGTGCACCTTTTTCTGGTCTGACGATTCTGAGAATGCTTGATACAATAGTGCGACTGAAGACGACCGGCTCTAGTGTTGCGGAGAAAGGATGGGACCGGAGGCTGGGTCTGATCCAAAAGTGTCTCTAGTGCATGGTCCCGCACAAAAAGGGCTGCCTTAGTGGCAGCCCTTTGAAGCCATGCTGAGCTCGTGAATGCAAACTCTCCGGCGGACAGGCAGTGTTGTTGATTCGCGAGCTAGGAACCCAAGATCTTGTGCGCTTTCCTGTTTTTCAATCCGGAGCTTTGCGCCTGAGCGCCTTCGTCAGCTGCGCGAAGATCTGCTGGTGATGTTGGTGCGACCGGGAACCTTCTGCCATGCATTAAATATACTTACAGGTACCGATCACGGATATTAAGAGAGGTGCAGGGAAACTCAAGACTTCCACCCTAGACCAGGGCAGCGAATGCAGTTCCCAGTCTCTTTGCCGTGCGCTCTGCAGGTCTTTGGACAGGCCTTAAAGCCTATATTGCCCAAGCCTCGAAGCAGGCTATCTTCCGGAGCATGGAGCAAAGTTCCGCTTTGAAGGAGATTGCCGGCGATGATTCTAGGCTTGCTTGTTGAGCATGTGCATGTAGCTATGAAGCACAAGAGTTCTCGCATGTAGTTTTCATACATGTATGTAAAGGTACCATGTAATAGCCCAAGTGCCACAAGAACATGCGTGTGTGTTGGTGAATCGCAGTGTCCATTGCTGCGGTACAATGCCACCGCATTCGTCTCCCCTTCCCTCTCTCTCTCTCTGTCTCCCTCCCTCTCTCTCTCTCTCTCTTGTTTCTCTGTCCCTCTCTGTCCCTTTTTTCGTTGGGCACTTTTAAGATATCTCGCACTCGCCCAATCTGCAGCGGCAGGATGCATGAGCTAAATGCACCGAGAAGACATTCTTGCGCTGTATGCTGCCGTGCAGAAGTTGCACAACAAGAGCCGGACGAGAACCGGAAAGTGTCATTTAGGTTTGCCTTGCCCGTACAGGCAAGGTGCGTTGAATCTCAACGTTTTCCTTGCCGCGTTTGTGTGCTTGCATAGTGTTGAGATTGACATGTTTTCGTAAGCATTTGCATTAGCAAACAGGTCTCTGGCAGAGCAATCCGCACTTGGGCATGAGGCACACATCATGCGCAACTTATTCCTCCCAATTCGACAGTCCGCCTGCCGTCAGACAGCATTGCTCCGGCTTTGCTGCCAGAAAGCAAACACGTGTCCGAGATGTTCATCCGTGTTGCGTGGGCAGGATGTGACGGGACAACAGCTAAGATACGCATCGGTAAGGAAGCAATGGAAGCATCAGAAGAGTTTCTCTGCCGTTGCCCCGCGTGACAGCCTGGCTGAAGTCTGAAGGTTCGACTAGTTATCTCCTGCAAAGGCCCTGAGGCCCTGGCCTGGAGTGCCATTGAAACGCCTAAGTGCGTGGCGCCATGCAAGCCGACCATAGGAACACAGACAGCAGTCCATGACAGTCCCAGAACCGCACCATACCGCATCGTTCTAACGAGGGTTTTTCCAAGCGGCCTGCAAGTGACTGATTCCAGTCCAACTTGTTCCATTTGAATCCTCAATCAAGACGGAGCTGCTGGGCTGGGAGCAGGCCACCATGTTTGTGGCATAAGATTTTCAGATTATTCTTATCATACGTGATTGTTTTTTTGCAAAGTTCTTCATCGTGACCTGCGATGTTGAAATCGACGCTCTCAACCGCGTACCAGTCTCCATGGCGGCAAACATCGTACTTGCTTCCATCCATGGTCGTGTTTTGACTACAGGTGCATGTTCGTGAGTTCGTGTGCCCGCGCCTGTGCATGTGCATGTGTCTTTGTTCATGTGTTTGTTTGTGTGTGTGTGTGTGTCTGTGTGCATGTGTGTGCGGAGCAGCAGTTGCTAATTGAGGCACTGACAAGTCGCAGGCACCCTGGCGCACCGTAACCTGCTCAAGCGGGCTCATGAGACATTACGAGAATAGCGTTCCAGAACCTTGGCGACTAGTGCACGAAACAAAGCCGCATGAAAGAGCAGTGATTCCTCAACAGCAGCCGAAACGACAGCACCCGCCCTTGCCCCTTCAGTGCTGCGCCCACGGTCCGACAGCGTGCTGTTGATGGCGAAAGAAGCCCTCAAGGAGCCAATGGGACGACTTCAAAGCTGTGCAAAATATGCGATCCGTGCGGCAGGTCGTGGTGAGACTCCTGCCACCCGAAATTACGGAAGAAGAGCTCATCGCTGTGCCTGAGTGCGCTTTTATCATACACAACTGCCGCAGTTTGTCTGCGTCAAGGCCACGGTTCCTGAAGCGCATCTGAAGCGGACTACCTGGCGAAGCTTCCAGGCACTGTCGAAAATCCTGCAGGAAGAGTTGCATTCTGGTTACAAACTCCCAGGCCGGGAAACGTTATCGAGGCGAGGCTAAACCGTCGGTGAATGCTCGCGGCTGCCTCGTGGATCGCTGCGTTGTCTCTTGCAGTTTGTATGTGGCACTCAATGTCGTTTCACAGCCCTGAAGTATCCCATGCCTCTCCGTCTCTGTCACTCTCTGTCTCTAACACTCCAAACCCTAAATAAACCCTTCGGAACGACAGAAGACCCAAACAGCCCCAAAACGGTGTGGCTTTTGGAACGGTAAAATCCACTGGAAGGTGGTGAGGCGGAGGTGAATGCGAAAGTGAGGGTAAAGGTAAGTGCGAACCCTAAGGGAATATCGCGGGGAGGGTGGGGCTTTCAGGGTTGGTCAGCAAGTGTTTTGATTGTCGTTTTGTTTGGCTGGGGTTTAGGGCCTCAGACTTTTAGGGTTTAGGGGTTTAGGGCTTTCGGGCAGAGTACCACAAGACAAAAGCAGCAACACTTATATGCGAGGCAAAAGCAAGCCAGCGTGAGAGTCCACGCGCCTAGCCAGCTGCAACTAACAAGGCAAAAAGTCAAAGTAGGTCTGCAATGTTTCATGTTGCAGCATCCTCCTCGGACATTGGCGCAAAAGGCACTTGAAACAAGTGATCGTGCATGTGCAAGCAACTTGGACATGTCGTCTGACTCAACACAGGCATTTTTACAACCGCCCCTCTGGTGAGACATGTCGAGATGTAGGGCAGGGGGATGGCCTGTGTCTCTGTGATTGCAGAGGCGGAGAGCGACAGCTTTAAGGCAGCCAAGAGCACCCGGAAGCAACAGCGAAACAACCAACGATCCAACGTGCAGCACAGCTGCACCCTGTGAAGTCGTCAGGAGGAAATGTGCCGGCATGGCGGCAACACCGTAAGAGAGCAATAGCCTCACTTTCCTTGTCGTTGGAGGCTGGAACCAGCTCATGATCGTGATGCATTTGGTGTTACACGAAGCATCCAGCGAAATGCACCACCATCTCTTGCGCATGTCACCAGTTCGAGAGCTCTTGTGAGACTTTGACCCGACATGTCGGCCGGGATGTGTATCGGATTGCATGGCCCACGCCACCAACACGCATACAATGACAAAGCTGTGTGTTAGATGAACTGCAACACTATGGCCGAAGGTGCGGTTTGGCCATTCAGTCACCCACTCGCCGACTGAAGCCATCAAGGTTTTTGCAATCTTTTTCCCAGATTTGGATGCATGGCTGCATTGTGATTCTGCTCGAGCTACCTCGGCACCAGCACTGCAGCTTACGGCCATCGGCAAGGCAGCCCGGGTGGCAAGCTTGTACAAGGAGATCAATGATAAACTCCGCCCTGAGCATATCCCCGCGGGCCAGCCATTGCCCGACAGCGTCGGACATGCCTGTCGTCGGCCTCAAACCGCGGGTTGGTTGTCACCCGGCCTAACCTTTTCTCAGGATTATACGGAGCAGTGAAACCCATGGCAACCCAGTCGGCCAAATTATTTCAATATCCTCCTCCACACAATCCAAGCAAGGAATGCAGCGCCATGTCCTTCAGCATCGTAAAAGTGTACGCCCGATCCCAGCTGTTTTGGAAACAACCAGAGTCAGAGAAACTGCGACAAGCAAGCTAAAGGCAAGCAGTTGAACTTGCCTCCGAAGACAGCGGAAATTCGGGCCCACCTGTAATTATGTCCGCTTGGATGCACATAATTTCAGCAGTATGCTGTTGTGGATGAGGAACATTCCCTAGCAGCCCTAGCATGTGCCGTGGTGACCGCGTGTAGCTGGGACCGCAGTTCGTTCTTCAACAATTGCACCAGATGGAAATACAAATCGCCAGCGCTTCGCGGCTCAACCGACAAGAAACTCGCCACCGTAGGTTTCACTTCAAGACCGCAAGACGAGTGCCCAGTAGCAAAAGAGACCTTCGTGCGTGATTGCGTGCAAAAAAACGTTGGCTGACATGGCCTGCGTGGTCGTGCAGTATGCCTCCACGATGTTTGCATCAAACAGAACAGCTACCATAACTGTCGGACGCTTGTGACCAATTGGCCACAGAGTCTTTGTGCGGGTGTTGCCATTCCGACTCTCAATCTCAGTGCCTGTTTTGATTGTTAATCGTTGGATCTCTCCGCCTGTTTGCGCTCTTTTTTCCCACCTTTGAATGCATCCTTACCAACCTCAGACTCGGTGATACCTGCAACGACACCCAGGCTGCTACTTCCTTTTCGACCAAGAGGACAGCGCTGATAAGTTCATCAAGGCCACAAAGCAAAACAAGACGACGTTCGGGTTTGAATTGTTTCGAGTGCGTGGCATAGTCTTGATGTGCCGAGGATTACCATGGACATCAATTCGTCGACGGGCAAGGGGAAAGCTTTCGTGCTGTCGCTTGCTTTGCTCCGTATGCCAAAGCTGCAGCCTTAGATTTTGGACAAGTTTGTATAATCCACACAGAGACTGGGATTCATGAGTTGCCGGGAAATTTGCACTGCAGTGGTAGGGTATCTGCACGACAAACTATGTATGCTTGCTGCAATCTATGGCATTCAGATGAAGACAAGGTTCCCCGCCAGAAGGTGACGAAGGTGCTCTGGACCAGAACGCTTTGTCTGGTTCGGGTGGTTTGTGGTGTGACAAACACGAACCGTGGTAGCTCCGCCTCAGGATGCCCGCGACGGAACTATCTTTGAAGACGCTACCTACAAGCAGCGTTTGGCTCATCGACCTTTGTTGTTGCCACGGCCACGGCTTCGCTTGATGTTGGAAGGTTTTTGGACGGATTGGCAGTCCCAAAAGCATTCGAGGCGGGGATTGCTGCACGTGAAGCATTGAAAGACATGATTTGCAGTCTGTAGGCGCCGCCAGATCCAGTTTCGGAGCTGCAACCTTCGAGCAAGAAGGTGGGCAAACGAATTCGGAGGAATCCGTATAAAGAACTTTTCCTTGCTGATGGCAGGACACCCCATTGCTAAATTACATGAAGACCAGGCCCTTTTTTTGCGTTGTGCTCCCAGCCTCGGCCCCCGGCCTTGCAGCTTTCGTCATTAAACGGACATGGCGGCAGGGCGGCTGAGAGAAGATCTCGTCAAGAGAAACGCCTCTCTGCTGCATTGCAGTTTGGGTGATGTGTTGCAGTTATGGGCCCTATGGAACTGAATCCGGTGCTAGCTGCTAGTTGAACTGAAGTTGCTTCGGTCTCAACCTGACACTCCCTTGAACAAAATCTGCCAGTGCTACCTACATTGAGGAATGTTGACCACTTAACAAGCTGCCCAGTCCAGGTGAAAGGGAGCGCAAGAGATGGCGTCCTGCACTGAGCTTGAAGCACACGTAGTGTGGCATGCTCGTACTGGTTGAAGTGTCGTGCAATTTTACATTGCTTTCGGGCCAGACGACCGACTGGGTCGAATAGACGAAAAGCCCCGATGGCGGTGTGCGGAGCCCACTTCTCAGTACGCAGGGCAAGAGTGCCATTAGTTCATGCATTTACTGGGTGTTGTGGGACTCTGGCCTTCCATGAATGCGATCACAAACCGGTCATGCCCTCCTAGAAGCCTGTAGCGCCTTGGTCATTCTCCTTGCTTGTGCCTCCAGTGGTTGGGCAGCTGCAAATCGGCATTGTTTTCTGCGTATTCTGCACTGTGCATTGCAAGTCAACGGTGCAAAGATGCTCTTTGCTTCAATCGAATTGTATCCTTCTGAAGGTGCGGCACCGTGAAGCACTTAGAAGAAGATCCAGATTCAAGAGGCGATAGCTGATCTCTACCCCGGTATGCGCTGATTCACTAGCTTCCACAGGAACCTTCTACTGCACGTACTGCTGGGAGATCTGGGAAGCTCAGGCAAGCAGCCTATTCGATCTGTGCTGTTGCCAACTGTCTTGACGGCGCGCAGTGGCAAGGAGTACAAGCAAAAGAAGAAGAAAAAGAAGTCAAAGAAGACCGAGGCGATTGCAGCAAAGGAAGAGCATATGCAACAGCAAGCGGCAAGATGTGTGATATTTGCATAGGAATATGCAGAAGAAGAGGAAGAAGAGGAGGATTGGTACGAGGAGTGGCGACGTTCGCTCGGAAGCCTCATCTTAACCTCAGCTGAACCTGCGCACTCAAATGAAACCTTTCTGTATGCAGCACGCCCAAACAAGCCTGCCGGGTTCCGCACGATGCATCGACATGAGGGGTCAGTGTTCCAGCAACAGAAATCATGTAGCATCTGTCATTACATGTGACTTCGTCTTCTGTGCACAAGGAGCCAAGCAGCAAAAAGAAAAAGAAGAAAAAGAAACATGAAGCGTATGAAGAAGAATGGCACGACCACGCCAGGCGCCGGGAGTTGTCAGGTAAGACACGGTCTTTTGCTTCAACATGTCAGATGTCGGTGCATATCCAGAGCAAGTGGTAAAGCAAAGCATGTTGATTTCGCCACCACCCTGCAGTGGCTGGCACAGTTCCGAGCAGGGAGAAACTTGGATGCAGCACTGCACTTTGGTGATCAAGAGTGATCGCTACGAGCTGCTGAGGATGACTGGGCCTGGTACGATGCAGAAGCCTCTGAGGAACTTCGCCCGGTTTGTGAGCCTGAGACAGCAAGCTGCAGCACTCACAGACTGTTGCAGTGCCAGGAGCCCAAGAAAAAGAAGAAGAAAAAGAAATCAAAGGCAATTCTGTGACCGCCAGCGCTGCTGCAGTGTCCCAACACCTTTCAGCAGGACGAGGATGAGTATGGTGCTTGCCACTGGCACGAAGAGGCCATGCGAGCACGTCGCACTGACATCCGTGGATGCACGCAGTCTATCTTGGAGGACTACTGGGGCGAGCAGGAGAGCAAAACAAAATCTAAGAGGTGGCTTCGGTGCGATTGCATGGTACCGCCGTCACAATTGGGGTTCATGTTGAGGTCAAAAGCCAAAGAGTCCGAAGAGTGGTGGGAAGAGTCGCGGGGGCCCATGCCTGGCTGGGAAAAGCAACAGTCATTTGAAGCTTTGCCAAAACATCTCATACGTCTCCAAACAAATTTCTTCATGTGTGAGACTGACAAACAGCATCAGTGGCATAAGGTTGCATTTGTTTCTGATGCATGACAAGCTCAGCTCAGGTCCAAGCCCAAGGAAACTTCTTCCAAGCGCAGGCTGGAAGCAATACATGGACAGATTCTGTTCAACATGCGGGAATTACCTCGATGCACCCAGCACTGTGATTGCAGTCACCGGTGCGACATGCATCAGGTCTCAAGGCAAGTGGAGAGAAAAGGAAGAACAGAAGGCCAATGTTCTTCCACTGCACATCTCTGCACGGCACTTGCTGTGCCCTGGAAAATTGAACCCACCACAGGAGCCCGAGAAGTCTCGGCGAAGGACCGGCGTTGGGTCAGAGTGTCAGTATCCTGCGTGGCGTTGTGAAGCTTCGCAGTCCCCGCTTGCTTGCTGAATTTGTGCTATGTGTATTCGAGACAGAATTCGCCAGGAGAGAGAAGGATGACAGCTCCCAGTGGGTTCCAAAGCTGCTGACTCAATCAAAGACGAGGGCTTGTCGATGACAGCGTATACTTCAGAGTCTGTTGGTTTGCCGCCTCCTTCATATGTCGCTAGCACGCACGCATACGCACGCAATCCGCTCGCCAGACGATGGACCTGCACAGGGGGCCGTGATCCGTGTACTTTCGACACGGCGAACGGAGCGTTCCTCGAGCCGAGGGCTCCTTCGGGTTCAGCCAGAAAGAGGCTGAACTCCAGCGCTCAGGCGAAGTGCCATTCCGCAGTGGTAGCAACGATGTCGCCGTCCGTCGTGAGCCCGAAATCGAAAGCAAAGGTTCCCACTACGTAAACGATCTGGGCAGAGAACTGTCAGGATAGTCCAGCGCCCAAGACGGTGCCCACTTTTGATGCAGCACCGGCATTCAGAGCATGTCGTCCAAGAGGAACAGCAACAAGACAGGGTCTAAGTATGTTGCAGCTGTCATACGGCCAGGGATTGGCCGGGAGTTAGTCAGGAGTTCCTGTTGAAATTGGCGCCGCAGTGGGCAGCGACCGCTAGCCAAGTTTCCTTTCGGCTTGAATCAACGAAGAAGGGGTCAGGAGGAGCAGAACTGCCAGCACATAGCCGGCATGGAGGGAATCATACCAAACCGCTTGGATGTGCAGTTAGTTTTATGCATACGTGATATTGCTTCCCATTTTCATGTGCAGCATTAGGCAGCATCACCTTCAGAAGCCAGGCCATCGAATTATGAATAGGGTCGAATTTCCGGCACGATTTTGTTGAAGGCTGCGAGAAGGATTCTTGGTGAAGGTGGAGAGCCCTCACTACCCTGCTTGGATATGGTTAGGAATCAGACTCAGGTGCTTGGTCGTAACAGAAGCCTGAAGCGGAACGAGGCAACTTCAAGCATCCCAGTATTTCCTTGCTATTACTTTCATTGTGGCCGTGATGGGCGACTGCACTGCGAGTACGCTCGAGTATGCTCCAGTACTCTCGAATACGCTCGAGTACGCCATACTACGTTCGAGAACGCGCGAGTAAGCCCGAGTATGCTCGAGTACCCTGTGCGAACATACTGTATAGCCTATAGCAGTTGCCAGAATCAGAAACCATAGACTAGACTAGTAGTATTAACGGTGAAACATACAACAATATGTCACACAAAAACAAAACACAATGTATAGGAATATACATGCGTAACAGGTATGAACATATATATATATATATACCCATATATATATATGTATATAACAACATATGATTTCAATATATAACATGTAACATATAACAGATAATATATGCATATATTATATGCTATGCAACATGTTACATACACACACACACACACATATATATATATATATATATATAGTACCCCCCTCAGTTATCCATCGTTTCGGTGGTTTTTAGCCCATTAGGGAGGGGCATAGGCTACTTCAGGGTATAGGGGCAGTACTGTTGTGGGGGTAGCATATATATAATATGTAAGAAATGGTATATAAAAAACATACCAGAATGTAGAATATAGAATATACAGAAAAGAGTGTAGAGTACAGAAAGTAGAATAATCAAATCCAGAGAGTAGAATATAGAATACAGAGCAGACTATACAGAATATTCAGCTTATGGCAGGTGCTATATAGTATAGATTATAGAATGTGTAGTGTAAAGTATGTAATGCATGGTTTTCATATGTAGTATGAAATATTGTGTATGTCTTATTTTGTACTATATACTATCAAGTATTACACTTAGCATATGATATATACTGCATGATATATCATAACATATCCATTGCAAAAAACCATAGGTCTAATATATAAGAGAAGATATAGTAAATCATTATGAAAACTCCCTCCGGGAGTGCTTTCGTTTGAGACCCAGCTAGCTTTGCTGTTCGAGGAGGTGTGGGGGGGACCACCCAAAAAGTGGCCCAAAACGCCAGGAGAGACGTCTTTTTGGAGAAACGGGACCCCGATGATGCTCATGATGCCTGGTGCCGGTGGGCCGGTGGGGGGGGTTCATGCGCCACTTTCTAGGTGCTGTGCAGAGTGAGCTTTCGTCCCCTCGCCCGTTAGGCGCAAGTGTTTTTTGTTTGCGAGCATACCCGGCCGGCTCTACTCGCCCATACCCAGCGATACTCGTGCATACTCGCGCTTAGTCGCAAATATTTGCGCATACTCGTGCATTCTTGCGCATTACTTGCGCATGCTCGCGCAGACCGCATACCCGGCGCTGCTCGGGCCCCCACCTGCAGTCACAAGTGGCTGTTTGTGCAATTAGCTTCACATCTTTCAGGTTGAAAGCTTCAAGTCAGGTTTGTCACGAGAGCTACTAGTAGCTCTGTGGAGCTTGCGGGAGTTGTCGCCCACCAAGTCACAATATAGCAGGTCACCACGTGAAAGTCGTACGAGGGTCCGTTCAGCATGTTTAGCAATGGTTTGAGTGAGGAAGGAGAGCGGGCACATGGATGCGCAATGACGCGCTGCAACAAACTCACGTCGTCCCTGCGCTTCCTTTCCCTAGCGCCGCAAAACACTAGTTTCTCGCCGCTGCAGGTGTGTTGAAGCGGTGCTAGTGCTGCTAGTTCCGAATTTGCGCGATTTCAAAGCGGTCGTGCCTCTACGGGACCCGTGCCGACGGATTGTTCCCGCTGGTCGCCTCTCTTCCAGCCGATATAGTTGTGGAAGCTGGTGAATTCGGCGCCACCCACAAAAGTCCCATTTGGTTGCGAAGACATTCAGCCGCTGTAACGGTGATCTTCTTGCGAGCTGCAGTCCGGACAGTGACAACTAATGGATTCGGATAGGTGGAGTTTGCCGTCTCGACGAAGCATTTGCTGTTGTCGCCTTGTCAGTTTTGTCGCCGTGGATGTTCCAACAGCGACCACCATGATGGCAGTCTCCTTGACGGCACTTGCGGCAAATTTATGGAGTGCACCATCCAGGTGCAAAACGTGGTAGTCTGGAAAACTGATGCAGCTCTTTGCCAGGCCTCAGGTGCGGTGACGACTCGGTGTCTCGAGCAAGTTCAAATCCAGAGCTGGAGAGTGGACTCGTCTACCTTCTTGCCGTAGTTCCTTTGCGAACCTAGAAAGGGAACCTGACCAGGAGTAACTTCGAGGAACGCAGAGGTCGAACACATGCGTTTTACCCAAAATGGGAAGCCCTGTCAAGCTCTGACATCCACAATGCCTACATACAGATTTTTTTTTCAATAGTTCCTCCGGTTCAAGATTCTTCCTACAAGTCCCGCTCCCCGATCACAACCCGCCGTGTGAAGAACCCGTTGTCTGTGTCGTCCTGTCAGGCACTGCCAACTGCCGCCCTTGTGCGACGAATCAGGAACCAAATGTTTTATCAGGTTCATTCCAGAGGTTAACAGCCACGCTACGCACGGGAGCCATTAAAACTACATGTTCACACGATCCGCGTTCTACAGCCTGCACAATCCCTGCCGCAGTCCTGACCACAGGCTCAGGCTGAGATTGGCTGTGTGCACGAGCCGAACCGTTTGATTTTCTTCTTCCTGACATTCTGCTCATATTCGTCACAATCCTCCACACCCTTACTGTCTAGGTCCCTTATACGTTTGAACCCGCACGAAAACCGCATCGTTCACCTTACGCTGAACGCTCAAACAAAAGCTATTTTGGGATTTTCCTTATAACTTATGAACACTGGCCACTACTGGGCACGTGCAAGATTCGGCCGCTCCCAATTGGGGGTTCGGCCTGTCAAGACCATTATGGCTCATTATGGCGTAGTGGATATACTTGTACTTTATCTAACTAGCAGTCAGCCGGGTTACAGTCTGCAGCTACAAGCGGAGTTGAATATTCCATTTCTATTGTAGGGCCTGGCGGCACGGGCCGGCATGGCCGGCAGGACACGAACTCTAAGCCTGAGCCCTAGGCCATACATGCTCCGCACTCCAATAAACACTGCGAACTTTGAGCCTGAGCCCTAACGCGTGCGCATGTGTGCGCTGTACACAAGCATTAGCAGCATCATTTTTACCGTTGGTGTTTCCTTTCCCGCCTTTGAGACCGCCTAGGGGCGACCCCAGAGCCACGTGCCGGAGCATCATCGACACGATTGGAGCTTCTTTTCTCCTTCGTGGAGTCTTTAATGCTGTGCCGCCCTGAAGATTGAACAACTTCATCTCACGACAAAATCCCAAAGACTCTCCGGCCTCCCCTAAGCGCCCGAAAGGGTGCCCCTGATGCTCATGATGCGCTCCCGCGACGGCGTACAAAAAACACACCATGCCGTGGGTGGAAACTCATCGGAGCTGCTTCGAAGATGGGCGCGCCCCGCGATGCCCTCTCACAGGGAAAAGAAACACAGAGTCTGATGATGTCCAGGGAAAGCTAGCGGCGCTACCGCGCTGGACCACAACGGCCATGCCGGATTTCTATGCTAGAGTGGAAGTGAAGGGGTGCCTCGAATCTCTCGATGATCCCACCCGTTTGTTCAGCGTACCTGGTAGTCGAATTTCACACGGAGCTTTCATGACAAGCTTGATGCTATCGTGCTGAGAGAATCTTGTGCAAACCGGCGTTGTCCGTTGCAACTCTGCTGATGCAGATCAACACACAAGCATCGACTCTGGGCGCATACACAAGGTTAGCTATCGATTGGAACACGTGATTCCAAAACGGTTATCAGGGTTAAGACAAAAAACACTGAAACAAATGCATAACTTGCAAACGATGAACTCGAAATTCGTCTCGTCACACGCAACCATTCATCCATTCATTCCTCCACAATGTTGACTCATAACTTGTCTGTGAGGTTGGTCTGCGCCGGAATAGGTGGAGCGGGGCGGGGGGGCGATTCGGTCGTGGTCTGGGCAGTTCATCTTGTAGGGTGGCTTGGGGGGTGCAGTGTCAGTTGACCACAGTGAACAGATCATGACTTCTTGGATATTCGCCTGTGTTGCTGAAGCGGATGTGTTTGCAACGCCTTACATGGGTTTTCCCCCGATGATTGGTCCTCCACGGCTTTCTCCTTCAACGAACGGAAGATGGCGTGCCCCTTCGTGTTCCTTTTTTGAAGGCAATGGCAACTCTCGCACGTAATGAAGAGGGAAATGAACTATGTCGCTATGGGGTCAACTAAAGTGCCTTCCATGCACATGCGTTCTGAGCGGAGCACCTGCCAGCAGCTGCTGTCCCGGGTTTGTTGTACTCCAAGGCGAAAGAGTTGACCCGGAGCAGGCACGATCCTTTGAGTCTCCTTGTTTTTTGTTATGATATTTGATGTCAGTTCTAATGCTGCTGCTGACAGCCCGCGATTGAAATCTCTAAGCTTTCTCCGCAAGAAAGCTTTCCTTATAAGAACAGGCCGAGAGTTGGAAGCTTGGGTCAGGGTTAGATTATCAGGAGGCAGTGCAGCATGTCGAGTGTAGTTGTACCTCCACCGCTGCAGGTTGACCCAACCTTGCGGAGCGGCTCGCGAGATGTGCAGGCCACCTGCTGCGACCCGCGTGAGCTCTTGATTGGAAGAGAAGACACCGGACCCATCAGTCAGCCCGATCTGGGGAGCGTGATGACTGGATCGAATCGTGTTGCACCAATCTTCCTGCCAGAGCTCCCTGGAGAACGTACCGACTGAAGGGATACCATGGGACACCAAAGCCGCATGCAGTGAGCATGCTGGGGCGCGTGACGAGGCACAAGAGCTCATCCCATCTGCAACGACGAGAAGACGTCCTGCCGATTTGTGCGGTCCTTATACATGCGCTGGAGCGGATGGTGTTGTATGTACGTACGCCCCCATGCCCTCAGTCATCTTGCGTCTTGATTGGCATCAATTTTGAATGAGGCGAGCACCTCGACCACTCGGAGTCGTCCCGTGCGAATCAGCCATCCACATCTTGCAGGGGCAAAGTCAAAATCGACGGTATGGTTCTTGTTGCAGATGACAGCATCCTGAGCGGTTGTCGTTGCCGCTTTGTCTCGCGTGGCACATCTTTTAGTCGGGAGTGCCTTTGGTAGTAGGACCGCAAGCCTGCGGCTAGCACAAGAGTGAGGTTTCGGCATCTTCATCGCTGCTCCTGCTGGGACGGTTCCGCTTGCGAACTGGGTCGGATCGGATTTACGGGCTAGTGGCGTTCAGCCGGAGTCGCAACTTGCGGAGACAAACAGCCTTTTTGCACTCCGCCCGAGTCAGATGTCAACTTTCGACAGCCGCAGCACAGACAAGATGGGACGAATGGTTCGAATTGCTGGCAAAGAGTTTCATGGCCCGAGCACCGAGATTGCAAAACAGGCACCCAAAACAGGGAACAACACACAGGGCATGCTTGGTCACAGCTGCTACAGGCAAGCTAGGCAGTACAACGGCCGGGCAGTTCCAACTCCAGCATACGCTGCCAGAATATCCGCGTGTTCGGTTCAGGACTGGCAGCATCGATTTTGTCTGCCCAAGCACAGTCCTTGTCGCGAACGGCTGCAGCTCCAAATTCTGCACTGAATTTGACCTTCTTTCCGACCGCTTCATCCACTTGCTCTGCATGCTTATGCATCCACGCAGCGGTTTCTCAGCGATGGTAGAGAGCAAATGATTAGGACTAGGAATCCCAGTAACTTAGTATGACCGGCCAGCACTGCAGACCGAGAGCAGCTGGATAGCAGCACATCTTTGCCAGTCCTGTTTTCACAAGATTGCATCGTAGTGCGGTGATAAGTAAGCTTTGTTATGTTCCGCTCGTGGCTTCTTGAAGACTAGAAGTGCTGGGGTGGAGAACTCAGATGTTCTGATACAAAGTCCCATGTGCATTCTTCCTTTTGTGTGCGGTCAGCAAACGAGGACCGGAAGATGGCCGGCGATGAGAACATGTCCGCGCAGGAGCTTCCTTTGCATTCATTCTGTCTTCCAGCTTTCTGTCCTGCCGCACTTCACAAGCATTTTCCCGAACAGATCGAGTGATGCAGGAGATTCAGCTACGGGACTGCTTCGCGAAATTTGATAGCAACGGGGATGGCAGGATCCAGGCAGCAACTTGCACTGCGTCGGCTTGATTCGACTGTGTTCCTGCCGGGAGGCTGATGAGTTCAAAAAGTTGATGTCCAGTCTTGCTGACTTCACCCCCAAGGAGTGGGAATGTGAAGCTGGCGGGGCTGGCGACAGTGCTTTCTTCCTTGTTGCGGGAACAGGACTTTCAGACGGTAAAAACTATGCCTATGATAACAGGAAGACAGTGATGACGTGATGACATATGATGACCTGCGAATCCTGACCAGAATGAGAAAAAGGATGAGTTTGAGGGAAGACTGAGGACGATGAAGATGATGAAACTCTGATGAAACTGTAATGGGATGACTTGAAGCATAATCTTTCTTCAATTGCCGCGAAACAGGTTCGTGAATATGCGCAGGCGATGTGGCAGCTTTCTAGAGGCTTGGCCATGCTCCCCGCCCCGAAGAGCCCCTCAGCGAAAGCACGTCAACCAGACACAGCGATAGAGGATTGTTAAGGTAGGTGCAACCAGGACAAGGTCAAGAAAAACCAGCCACTTGTGCCAGGCGAGGGTCCGCGCAAGGAGGCTTCAGATGTCAAGGCTACCTGTTTTCCAACCCACAAACGCGGTCCAGATATCCAACGTAACAAGGGCGGCTTCACAAGATCACTACTGCAGTGGAAGATGAGAAAAAGGACTGAGCTTCTTTTTGAAGGGATGGTTTTCTGCGGAACATTTGGGTTGGCTTTTTGCAGAAAAACAGAATTTCCTGAGATAATGATGGTTTTGGGTCGAAAAGCAAATAGTTTCCTAGGAAAGCTAGAAACAGTCGTTGGGGAGTGTTTTTGGTTTCTCTCACTGGGGGAACTTGGTTCTTCATTGGAAGACTACGGTGTTGCCATGTGTTGCCACATGTGGTATTCAAATGCATGTCAGACGTCGAGTGTGGTTGGCACAGATCAAGCAGCTCATCGAGAACCTCGGGCGCCCAGAGCGGGAAGCCAGCTCTAGAAGAAGCTGGAGGCAGGAGCCAAGGGACCTTGGACAAGGGCGAGATTGCGGAGGACCTGCAGGAGCTCTACGCGGAGGATCCGGTAGAAGCTGCCCGGGATGGGAATCACACGGAGGCGGATCTGCTCCAGCTGACAAACCCGACCTGGACGGCATCTTCGATGCCGGGGTAAGTGGACCTTAAGTGGAAGCAGCAGCGATCAGCAAAGCTTGGAGCAAGAGCGGCTTTGAGATCATCTACGAAGCCTTGGAAAAGCAGATGCGATTGGATATCCACGCTTCCCAAGTCGGGCGTGCCAGAACTCGGAGGTGGTGATGGTGCAGCAAAGGGATGGCTTGCGTCCAAAAGCCGAACCGGGAAATATCGCAATCACATCAGGTGGCCTGAGCGGTGGCTGTGGCATCTGGGACAACCTGATGATGGGCAATGTGGATCGCGCTCAAGCCCGAGCTGGGCTGGTGGCCGCATGTGCCGATCAAGCTTCCGTCGATCCCAGATCGTGGGTCATGTCCACCGTGGCCAGGAGTTCACCCGGCATTCGAACCCATAGACGGTGGAGCTGCTTTCTTCGATCCTCGGTGGAGCGAGATATTCCTCCAGGTGCTGAGAATAATAGGGAGGCCTACAACGAGGCAAAGTTGAAGCTGAGCCAAGTCACGGAAAGAGAGACGGAACGAGAAGGAGGTGAAGCTCATGGGGGGCGCGCTGCTGCGCGCGCCAGGCGCGAATGCTCAGCATGTTGATCCTTTGAAACTCTCGTCAGCGTGTTTTCAAGATTCCGGCAACCGTGGCTCTTTCTCCAAAACCTGCGTTAGACCTCCAGTCTCGCCGTGCGTGGGGCGGTTCTTCGTGCGGTTCATCGGCTTGAGTGTGGCCTATGCCTGACCCTATGGCGAGATGACGCACGTGGCGGTTGGCAACGTCAACCTGGTCGTCATCGTGCTTGACTTCATCGAGTGAGGCCTGCCCTCCAGAGCACCTGTTTGTCTTCCTGGAGGGCGGCTGCTGTCGTGCCGAACCGAGCAGGGTGCTTAATTAGACTTGAAAAGTATCTAGATGCTTGGTGTCAGCTTCGCATTCCTGAGCCGGCAGGCATGGGAAGAACCGCGGCTACGTTGTTGAAGTTTGCGTCTGAGGGCCAAGCCCTGTGAGAGCAGCCGATGTTGCCAATCTCAAACCCGCCTACACTCGTACTGAGAAGTAGAAGCTAGCCGGCTTCAGTTTCGAGGGCGACCTGACTTCGACGCCAGAACTTTCCTTGATTCGTTTAGCAAGAAAACCTATGACTTTCCCTTCGAAACTCCGGTTGCTTTTCAAAAGTTCGAAGTTAGAATCCCCCCCAGAGTTCGTATCCATTGCAGTCGCGAGCAGAAGCTGCAGCTCTTCACCTTGCTTGACACAAGCAGATGTTCAGGAAAAGCGAAGTTAGGTCCAAGTTCGCTGCAGGGGTCATTTTGGATTCACGACCACGTAGTTTGTTCGAACCTCCGGGGCATTACATCAGGACACTCGGAGCTGAAGAGCTGCTGACCAAGCTCATTCTTGAGGAGAGCAAAGTTGTCCTCACTTCGACAAACGACATCAGAGACTTCATCATTTGTTTCATGTCAGCAATCAGAGAGCGTACGGAACAGTCTAGTTGGCACTGTTCATCCCATGAAGTACGGCGCTTCTCCTGTTCTTCTAAAACTGGATGCTGGCATTGGGATGCCCCGCAATGGGTGACACGCATCCTGAACTTTGTTTGCCGGTGCAGATACTCGACGAAGAGAGCCTGCGTGTCTTGACTCGTGCCGAGGAGTGAGACGATGTGTGGCACCGTGATTGATGACTTCGTGGCCCTTGGTTAGCAAAATGAAAAAACTCAGCTTTGTGGCGATCGTGCCCGAAGTTGCGATGCGCGGCTAGACGACCAAGCTCAACAGCCCCGCGCAAAGTGCATCTCATTCCTCACGAGGCCCGGGAGCCCTCCACTTGAAGCAGTCCTTGTCGCCGCCTGCTTCCCGACAACTCGAGCTCTTGCCTTCAAAGGTGACAGCAAAGAAGTCCAGACACCCTTTCACAAAGTGTGACGACACTTTTCGAACAGCTTCCTGGGGTTGGCCAGCACGCAGACCAGAAACTGCACAGGGCGCAGGACTCCGGTCAGCAGCTCTTGGCGGAGCTTGTGACCCACGCAGATGACGGTGCTTTGGGTCCCTCACTCCAAAATTTATTCCCATCCTTTGTGGACGGCTCTTGTTCGCGCTAGACAGTATCGATTGTGCTGGAAACTGAAGAGTTTGAAGCGTAGGCGCGTCAATATAGGTGACGTTCGATCGTTCTTGAAGGTTGAGCGGCTTGGCAAGTTGGATGGCAAGGCTGCTCGTATGTCGTATGATCATCAGTGGGGACTCGCAAGTGGCTTTGGACTGTCTGCGGCGGCCCACTCAATCGTGAACTGCGAGATTCGTTGCCCGACTATATAGACGCGGAGGTCTGCGCGGCGTGTACATGTATTATATGCCATTTCGATCAATCCTGCGGATGCGCCTCCTGCGGGCAAGCTTTCGCCCAAGCCACGGGAGCCTTCGCCGCCGTCGCAGCGGTTGGACCAGGCCACGCAAGGCCAGCTTGAGGGTTTCGACAGAGGGTTGCAAGATTCCAGTGCAGTTGCCTTCGTTCGTTGAACTTAGGAAAGCTGCAGAGTCGGAGATGGTGGCGCAAGTGAACCATGGACGCCTGACAGCCCGCAGGAAGTTGCGCGAGGTGCTGTGTGACTTAGGCGTTCATCAGTCTGTACCTTGTTCCTTCGACGAGTCCACGATTTCTGATGCACTGCTGCCTCCTTTCAAGACGTCTGGGGTGCTTGTCTTTCCAAAAGGAGTGGATCCCTCAAGGTGTGTGGCGAGGACGAGGAGTGGTTACTTGGATATGTATTCAGGCGTTCGCTCGCCTCACAGGCCGGTAGGTTTTGTGCTACGACGTCAAGATTCAGCCGGCCCAAGACCTTGGGCAAAGGTCCTCAACGAGATTGTTGTTATACTTCATGCAGGTCGGTTTGTGGGCTGTGACGCAGGGCCGTCCGCGAAGGCTAAGACCCCGGCCACTGCCGGAGCCCAAAGCACCGCCCGCCCAGAGGGGCGTGCCGAGTCAGGTAGCAGTACCCAAGACCTGACGGATGCCAACCACATGCTCGACACACAGCTCCAGGATTACCGCCACTCTGTCAACAACCTCCGAAGGGAGAGAGATCTGGCGCTGGATGATCGTGACGCATATCGTCGCCAAGCAGAGCGTGCAGAGGACCGTGCCGATAGGGCCGAGGCGGAGCTACATGATCGAGGCTCCCGCAGACGCCGGCGAGATTCTGGTTCAGTTGACAGTCGCCGCCGCAGCCGGTCATATGACCGCGGTCGCCGGCGTAGAACCCGAGATGGAGATCGCCGCGAGCACACACGTGATCGTGAGCGCCGGGCCATAAGCAACCCGCGAGAACGCAGTGAGCCTGCCCGTCGCGCGAGAACAGGGGCAAGGTGGAATCGCCAGCGCGCTAGGGCTGATGCAGACCAGGACACAGTTCCTGAGACGCCAGCTCCACGCACCCCGATGTGCTCATCCTTTTCGACAGCTGTGGTGCCTCCGTGTCGATCTGCGCTACATCCCGAAGGACTTCCGGGGTTGCCAGCTAGTCAGGTTAGTCTCGGGAATGGTTTGGCAGATGTCGTTGCTCGAATCTGTAGCACTTGTCTTCAGCTTCAAGTGCCATTCTGGAGGGAGAATTCCCAGTGTTCGATCATTTGGGAACTTCCTGAAGTGAAGCTGCTATCTAAACGCCAGCGTGTTGGGAAGTGGAATGTGGACCTTTGCGCATTTCGTACGCCTGGCGTCAGAGAACCTCGGTGTTGATTTCCACCTGCTTGCAGCAGCAGTCCGTGCTGTGTCCGAGCTGTCCCAGTCACTGTCAGCTTCGCGGAGGATCGCAATATCATTGGATGTCGTGAGGCGGCAGAGCCTCATCCGGGAGGGCTGGCGCTGGTGCCACCTATGGCTGTCGCTGGAGCCAATGGACAGGCCGGACTTTCGCAAGCTGCGTGCGTCTGCGTGCCGGAGTTCTTGGGGCTCGGATAGGCGAAGCACATCATCTAGGGCCCGACACAGTACAGCTGAAAGTAGGGTTGAGCGACGTGAAGGTGGTGAGTTGCGTGCAGTCGCACTCGTGGGCCCGCGAACCAGAGCGCCAGAAGGTCGTGTTTGGGGCGACTTTCGTCAGCAGGCGATTCAAGATATGGAGCCTCAGGACACAGTCCCCTTGTCCGCATAGGCGAACCGAACCTCCAGCGTTTGTTCGCAGAGTCGCCGCAGTTCACGGTTACCTCCAGGGAATGCCCGTGATGGGTCTTCTCTATAGCGCGTGCGCTTGCGATGTCTGCAGACCCTGCAACATTATCTTCAACAACTTGCAGCAGAGACTGTCTAAGGTAGGTTTCCAATTTCGGCCCGTTCAACTGATGCTGCTGCCCAGCTCCTTCCTTTCCTTTGGGTTTCCCTGGCTGCCGAGGACCCTTGACTCCAGGGAGTTTCGTGCTCCTGCTCCTACCTCGAAGAAGCGGCCATGGAGTAGCGGTGGAGCAGCTCCTTCCTTTTTATCTTCGTGTTTGCCGAGTCTGAGCCGCAAGTGCTGAAGACAGCTGGAAAGTTCAGCTCACCAAAACTCGCAGTGGTCAGCGCAGCGAAAAGGAGAGCGGCGGTGCGATTGCCGCCATGAGTCAGTACTTAACATGTTCCACGTATTCAGTGCGTCAACGAATGGTGGCAGCTTTTGTGGCCCGCCCGCCCGCCCGTGGAGCCGCTCTTCTTCTTCAAGTACGACTTCGTCCTCCTCGTCTTTGGCAAGCTGGTGCATTTCGTGGGATTACGGCGACTTCTTCGCTTACGGTACGCTTTCCATCTTCGTGTTTGCTAAGTCTGAGCCGAAAGTGCTGAAGACAGCTGGATACTTCAGCTTATCACTGTCAGAGACATAGGATGGTACAGTAGTTACGGCTTAGCTTATCCAAATGCTTGCTTGATACCGGTTTGAGTGCTGAGGTTTCGAGCTATCTGTAGTTTCACTGTAGTTATCATCTTGACAGAAAGGAAACCTGCAAGTATTCAATCAATACTACTGTAGTTATTAGCCGAAGCCGTGACGTTAAAATTCATTCTAACACCAGCATTCCACTGCCACATGCCCCAGATCTACACCAGATTAAAGAAGTGTTCAACTGTTTTTGAGAACAAGTAAAGCAACACAACCCACCTAATTTTCACCAGTGGCTCGTTAATATGTAATTAAAACTAAACTGTATCTGCTTGATATCTAACCTTGTGGCTGTTTGCTCTTGTGCAAATTTCGCGATTTTGTAAACACTGTTAAAGTACGTGTTTGTCAAATTCCGCATATGGTGTTCATGACTTCGTTTCTCCGTGAACCCTTGGTGCGCATGTGTGGATTTCTGTTGCCATCCCTATCTCAACGAAATAGGTAGTAGTCACTGTGTAAAACCGAAGTAGTACTTAACTGCTCCGTCGTGAATGATTATCTGGCTCTCTTGTGCCGCTGCACCGATTGGCTATTTCTAGACATGCTGAATACTAAGTTTTCATGAATAGTAGTTGACTATTGCTTATTGTGTGGCTTGAGCAGCATGTGGGTATGAGGCAGATCAGCAGGAATCCTAATTGGATACCAGTTCTAACAGAAGCCGCAACAGATGTCTTGCAAATTTTGCTTGAGTTTGAAAGTGTAAGGAGTGGACAATAACTGGATGAGACATGCGTGTTTTGCGAACATTACATGAAAAAGGTTTTAGCGGTCGTCACCCGGGCCTCTGCGCAATATATACATATGTACTTATTTATTGTTCATTTATCTATTTCTATTTATTTACGTATTTTTATTTATTGTAGTTTTTTAATTTTTGCTATCTATGTATTTACATTTTTGGTATATTCACCTGCATGTGTGTGCACGTATGTTTATCAGTACATACATGGATACGTACGTGCATGCATACTTACCAACACATATATTTATATGTATTTGTATATATATATATATATGCACATGCAAACATACAAGCATACATACATCATACGCATATACGAATACATAGGCGGATACATGTACATGCACGTGTATATGTACACATACGTACACATGTACGTATATGTCTACGTATGCACATGCATATGCATATGCATATGCGTCGACGTACACAAATATACATACATACATACATACATACATAGATAGATAGATAGATAGATAGATAGATAGATAAATAGATACATATTCATACATATATATACACACATACACGTATACATACTCATACACAGACACATACACACAAGTATACGTATAACTCTTGCGGTTTGGCGGTTTTGGTTGCCACTCGTCATTCCCTGTTGGGGTCTGAGGTTTTCCGGATGCAGGAACATGGTTTAGGAGTTTAGGGTTTAACTATTAATCATATCTTTTGAGGATTTTGAGCCTGCCCTTTTAGCCGGGACCCAGGGTTTAGGGCCTAGGGTTTGCAACCGCCATCTTGGTTTAAGGCTTTGGGTTCTGATTCAGCCACCCCCTCATCTTGGATCAGATCTTGAAAATCTTTTTGGTCCGTCTGCGTATCGAGTGCAACAATATGCAAATCAATGGTTCCCACTCCATCTAATTACACTCTGGCCGCCACAGACATCCACAGACCATCCCATGGACATATCAATGTCCCTGGCGAGGAGATAAAGCGTCTGTTCAAAGAAGCTGACACTGATGGCTCAAACAGTGCGGTGCTGACAAATTGACGGCCATCAGGTTCTGAAATTTATGGCATTGTCCAACCATTGCCAGTATGGCTCCTGCTTGAGGCGTGGACTGGAAAGAGTTTCTATCATGGATTCTGAATGGAACAGCGCTGAAAGGTGCGTGGCTGAGTCTTCGCGAAACGCAGAGCTTCGGAACTTTTGTCACTGATGCTACTGGGGCCGTAGAACTCCCAGGTATGGGTGCCAAAGGCGCCGCCTCCTTTGAGCGGCCAGCAGCTCAAAGCTCCGGCACTTTGTTCGGACTTGCATTCGGGGCCCTGCCTTCTTGGAAGGCTTCTGAATACGGAGACACAAGACGAAGCGAGCTTCGTAGAATCAGCCTTTGACTCGGTGTCACAGGCAGCCTCAGCCTTGGAGGTTCAACGCGATTGGCTAAGGCTCAGATGGGTCACAACGTGACCGAGTACCTGCGACAAGCTGGGTCAAAGGACAAGAAGCCGCGACAGCGAAAACGAACTGCGCAGAAGGCTGTCATCCTCTCTTTCAGTGCTCTGATGTGTTCACCATTCTCTTTCAGTGCTTCATCTGATGCAGGCAGCCTGTGATGATCTCGGGGTTCCGTCCGATTGGGTTGGCCACAGGCAAGATTACTCCCTGCCTCCCGGCACATCTCGCTTCTCTGTGCTTCACGAGGATTCAACTGCCAATGACACCTGACGGTGCACGACAACTGTTAGGCCGGTTCGCGGGGTCTTCAGGTTGTAGGTTCTGCCATTTCATCAAGTTGCCTGACCAAGATCACTTCTTACATTCTGGCGCCAAGAGTCCTCTTCATTCCAAGTCTGCCACCGAGCACGCAAACGTGCCTTGGAGGCTTGTAGCTTTCAGCTGCGAGTAGCCAAAAGTTGCAAGGCATGTGACGCACATCATTACCCAGTTCGTGTCGGCGTACTCGGTACGACATCCCAAGCCTGTGGTCTACACCGATGTCCCACAACCAGACGGGAGGCGGTTGTCACTTCATCGCGTGATTCTGATAGCAATCTCATAAGTCTGCTCGGCAGGTTAATAATCGTCGGTGACACGCATGGTCAGCTTGCCGATGTCCGTTTCTCAGAATTAAATTTGCGGGTATCAGGTCCAGCTTTCTGAGATTCGATGGTCTCGAAAATCTGGTACGACCACGGCCTGCAAGGAACTGGGAGCTGCTCTTCATTCGAACGTTGAGCGTGAGTCAGAAACATATCATGTCATGAAGAGATGTTGCGCAAGTCTCGGACAGAATGTGCCAATCGAGTCACGAGAAGTAATGTAATTAAGTGACACAGACAAGACGAGGGCAGCGAGCCCTTGTCCAAATGGCAATCTTTCGGTAGGATCAACGTGAGCATCACAGAAAAGGGCCTGCAGGAGGGGCTGACACAACGGGCACCAGTCTGAGTTCGTGATGCCAGAGCTGGGCGTACAGGATGCTAGTTCTTTATTTGCACTGTGCCGACGTGCGACATTGTCATGCCCTGTTTGAATGCTTCAATTTATAGTCGTGTGGTTTTTGATAAAGGTTTTTTTGGCTTAGGATGCTATTTTGCGTCGGGCGTTCAGCTATGGTCCGAACTGAAGACAAGACGCTGCCAAGACAAATCCAATTCCCCGCGCGGGAAGGACAGCAATCGTCGGATGGATGTCATTTGCGATAGCCAATATTATAGCCAGAGTTGGCCACTGCTGCATGTGAACAGCGTGGCCCATCCTGTTGCGAGACAGGGAGCATCAACGCTCGCTACATGAAATGCGGCGCAATGAGACATGTGCAACCGCACATAGGGTGCTTGCAACATCGAGTCCTGAGCGTTCGACGGTTGTGATTAGAAGCGCATGCCCTACCTCGCGCTCTTCCTTTCGAAGCGTGGTCTTTCAAAGCACATCTCAGGTGTTGCACATTCTCTATCATCTCGGCCCACCAAGTGCCCAGAACAGGTGCGGCTGGCTTCACTGTGTTTGCTGCATTCATGTGTCGGTGTGGCATCCATCTGCACACCGCCGACCTCCTGTGAGTACTAACTGGGCATCTTGTTTGCCAGAGGTATTTGTTCAACGGCGACATGGTCGACCGCGGGAGCCAGGCATGCAAAGATCGGGGTACTTGTAGTTGTAAAGGTGTGAACGAAACACGTGATTTGCTTGACTTCAAGTCCATCCTATACAGATCAACCCACCCTGCAATCCCCGACGATCCTCAGATCAAGACAAGCACACCCTGCACCCTGCGCGCGGAAATCCGGGACACGCAAGAATGCCAAGAGTTTGTGCAAGCCGCTTTTGCTGTTCTGAGGGTTGCCCGACGCTATAGTCACTATAGTGCTATTCCCGAGCCGGACACGGCGGCGGAATCTTCATCTCGACATAGGAAGGACATGAAGAACCAGACGGGATATAAAGGAAACGGCGATAACAAGACTATGGCCAACCCTGAACTAAGCGACAACCAGGGTCCCTTATGTACTATCATCACTATTCGCCGTTGTCAGGATGGCATTGCAACTGACAGGAGCTGGCTGAGCACGATGAGTACGAGCCAACAAAATACAGGAACAGCTGGATGTCGCAGATAATCAGGAGGTGTGCTCCACAGTCCCGAGGCGGTAGAACTAGATCTTCCTGAGCACATGGAGCTGAAAGGACCTGGCCAATATGGTATGTCCGCTAGCATAGGGCCCTATCATAGGGCGAATAACACCGAGCAATTTCAGCTGAAGAGTTGAGGACTGCATCTTGTGAAAGCGTTGCACACACACCATCGCAGACCCGAAACAGAACCATCATCGTCGACAGTATAGTCCTATGGAATTTTGCCCGTGCCTCGAGGGCGTCGAGATCCTTCTGATTCTGTTTGCTTTTTTTCTTGCAGACCCAGAGCAGGGCGCTCAGCAGCAGCGCAAGTGTCATGTCGTGTCACCTGCCTGCCGCCTTGCGAGCCGTGCGATGGAATGTAGGTCAGTCATTGTGCATCGTGGCAACCACGAGAACGAGGCCAGGTTCAAAGTGCACGAAGCGCTCGCCCGTGCACTGACTGTTTTGCTTTGAGGACATGAATGCATTGCACGCGGACAATGGCGGAGGCTTCGAAGATGAGGCGCACCTTTTGTCCGGTGCTGCTTGCACACTCCAAGGCGATGCGTAGGAGCGTCAGGTGATGGAAAAATACGGCCTGTCCGTGCATGTAGCCCAGATAGCTCGCTGCAGCATCTGATGCGGCCCTGCACAAGCTGTGTGCCTTAGGTACAGGCACTTCGTCAGTTCCTTCAAAGTCATGTCGTTGGCATCTGTCATCAACAAGGCCGGTACCTGCACGGATTCCAGAATTCGGACCAGCATTTTTGATCGAGCAGCTGAATCTAGCTGCGCGCAGCTCTTCTCAGGAGATCTTCGTTGTGCACGGTGGGCTGACGCGGGTCCTCGCCACAACAACTCGAATGCTTGCTTGGAAATCGGATTTGTGTGGGACCTGCGAAGGTGAAGAACCTGACAATCGACTACATCAACACGTTGCCTTTCCAGGAAACATGACATTGCAGTGCATGTGCACCGTGCCGTCGGAGACCCCTGTGATTCCAAACAACCCGAAACCAGTGCGAAGCGCCAGTGACAGCTGAACGCTGCAAATTCCGGTTTGATACTTGGATCGAGGGTCCCACAGTCCTTGCACATGCATCGCCCCCCCAAGACCACAAACTGGACCTCCACACTCCACACGTTCCTCGCACAGTGTTACGTTGCAGCCAGAGGGCATTTTGGCAAAGGACTACACCGCGCCACATCCCATGTCCAGCAACGTGAAGGAGATTTCGCTGTGCGATAGACGATGAGCAGCACTGTCGATTTTCCCAGTTTGGCCTTTCCAATGGTCAATGGCAGGAACAGCTTTTCTCTGACCTACTTTGGAGCGATCCCACCGAACACGAGGGGAAATACAAGCTACTCTGGCCTGCTTCGGCAGTCGGATGAGGATGTCTGTTACCCATGGGATCGGTTCTCCTTGGTCCGAGCGGCAGGTCAGATCGTGGCGTCGGAATAAAGTACGGCCCCGATGTGACGACCAAATTCTGCAGCCAGAATCGGCTGAGGTACGCATGTTGCCAGAGAACGTGTGTAGTGTCCTTCACATTTGTGGCTTTGCCGCTGTGGCAGGTTTCTGGTCAGAAGCCATCAAGTGCCAGAAGATGGGCGCGCACGGGGGATGGGGAATGCAAAGCTCTCGTGCGGTAGGTAGAAACAGTGCCTACTGTCAAGATGACATAGATAGCACATGCGTGTGAGGCGTGGCTTCCAAAAACAGCACAACGACCGCTGTGTAACTGTCTTCAGCGCCAGCAACTACTGTGGCGATGGAGGGTGGGGCCCGCAGGGAAACCTCAACTGTGCAGTATCCCAACGGAGCAATGCCTTGCTAGGAACTTTGGCGCGGTCATTGTCCTGTCTGCCGCCAACTTTCCACGCTACGAGGTGTTCGAGCCGGGGCCTGACTCTGACGATGCGAGCCCCACATTCACCTGATGCTTTCGCTGCGATGATGGCTGACTGAGCATCTGCATAAGGCATTTCGCGGCGCCGCTGGACGAAATGCCTAGCATCGTTGCACAAGGCAGCAGACTACTGAAGCGATGCATCGGTTGATATCTGCTTTTAGCCGCGTAGCAGGGGACTCTGTGGACTGGAACAAGACATCCACGTCTCAGCAGCGGGACAGTTTGGAGGTCAGAAGCTCAGATCCCGTGCAGTCAGTAAGAAATTTCACAAGCCAAAATAAGGACTTAAGATTCGCCTAGGGTTTTTACTCAGTTCCTACGGTCCATATTTGCAAATTAGCGCGGCGCATCGCGGCGCAGAGCGTAATCAACACATTTCGGTGTGACACAGCTTGTGTGTGCGGGAACATGCCCGGCGGACGACGCACATGCCGCCGGCCAATTTTAGCACTCCGCCTAGCATCCTTTGACGTTCTCGGCACCATGTCCGCTCTGACGTCGCGGTGGAGACCCTCCACGCGGCCCTGAACGTCAGGATTGACCTCGCTATCCACTTCGGCCAGTGTCCAGCGGTGCACTCTCTCGACGTTGGCGGATGCATTGAATTTCGGGGCACGGGTTTTGATCTTTGATTGCTGGCGCTGGTCAAGCAGGTTCTCTCTTCTCGTGACTGTTCCATCCGATATCTGTAGCGTCTCACAGGTAAACTGCTCTGGCTGTCGTCCCTTTTCCGCTGCTTTCGTCCTTCAGTGTCTCCACGTTACAGTGACCAGCACTCTTTCACGCCGGTCCGCACGGCGGTCTCCCCAGAGGTGTGGCATCGCCGGTGTGATGCAGTCGACTCCAACTTGACCTTGCTTCGCTCTATAGGTCTCGCTGCTATTCCGCCCTGGTCCTGTGATCCGGGTTCAGTCGTCATCTCCAGCTCGCTCTTTTTGCCACCTCTCCGACTCCTCCTGTGAGGCACTTCGCATGTGGATGCATGTGGTCGCGTCCGGCTCCGACTTCCGCTCCCTCATGCTCCCACCAAGACTTGAGAGTAGACTTGAGGATGCCGCGTTTGCCGATGCATGTGCAGACACTTCCTCCGTGGGCTGGGGTGGCTCCGCCAACTGTTCTTTCAGAATACATCAGTTGCGTGCCATTTTTCCGTGGCTTCCTTCCGATTGCTCTCTTCAGAAACTCATTGTCATCTGGGAGTCTGCTGCCCAAGAGGCTCTGCTGCTGATGCTTCATGAGCTCTTGGGTGTTGGTCACCTCCCGTGCCATACCGTATTCATACTCCGCTCCGGCAACTCCGCTTCGGAGTCGACTTCGTGGAAGGGCTTGTGCCACGCGCTCCGTTCGTTCTTCATGCTGCAAGAGCGGTTGAGGAATTCCGCCCATGTTGATAGGTATCTCTATACGATACTGCAGATCCGCTTGGCCGTGGTTCCAATCCGTCCGACCTGGGGTTCAAGGACGCGGAACGCTCGTGGTGGATCGGACTGTGCTCTCTGGGCTACAGCCTCCGCTTGTTCCAGTCTCGCACTACATTTGAGGGCTTCTTGGCCTCATAGCTGCGACTTTCGCCGCTGCTTGAAGTTCTTTTGGGGCGGTTCCCCTGTCCGGGCCAAGCACTTGCGGCTCGAACTCACATTGGCCCGACAAGGATCAGACGCTCTCCTGCATCCGACAGTGGTGGTGCTTGACCAGACCACCGGACTTTCACGCAATGGAAAAAACAAAAAACAACACTGTCCGAGTGTACTCTACTGAAGGTAGCCGACAAGACCGCCCGACCGTTCCTGAGCTTGACCAGGTATGTTTGGAATAGGACGCAACGGCAACCGACCGCACCGCTGTAGCCACTGGCTCACAGCTGCAGTCGGTTGCACCTTTCACCCTCCCACTACCGTCCCCTTTTCGCCACCTCTCGGTGCTTTGGGTTCTGGTGCTGTTCCGTCCGCTCTCCGTCCGTCTCAGCACTGCACCTGGACTTCTGGACTTCGAAGTTGCCTTTTTACGTCCCTGGTCCGTTTCTCACCATAGCTTTGCGGTGCTTCACCTGTGTTCTTCTTGGCGGCTGGTCCGACCGCCGCCAAAAGGACCAGGTGTTCCTCTGCATCCGACCGTGGTTGTGCTTCACCAGACGGATAAAGAAGACACTTGTCCGACAGTACGTGTCTTTCTATGAGGGCAGCGGACGAGTCCGCACGAACTTTACCCATTACAATGCTGACGTTCAGTTTGACCTACGCAAAAGGCACAGACTTGTTGACTTAGATGCGTCTTCGGAACGTTCCAGGTAGGACTAGGCAGAATGAAATTCAAAACTGATTTGTTTACTTCTGGTGTCATGGGCTCATCGGTTTCGGCTGGAAGGCATCGCGAGTTGCTCGCCAAGAAAAAACCTTTGCGCTCGGCACTTAGTTAGTATTGCAGGCATAGCCAGTGCCAGTGCTCATTGAGCATTACCCCAGGCGAATGATCATCTCCATTATCGAGAAGAAGCCCCAGCTCTGGTCGTACATCATCCGAAATTCTGTAGGTGCGCCCTTGTCAGTCGTGTCCAATGTGTTGCCTAATGCATTCTCACTCCGGCTTGGTGCAGGACAGAAAATGCCAACAGATGAGTTCGTTCAGATGATGGAAGCGTCCTTCGCTTGGTATGGCGTGATTCCGAGAACACCAGGGCCAGGGACTGAACACATGGCTCGAGGCAAATTGAAAGTGACAATCCGTGGAAGGAGGCCAACCGCCGACGCACATGAAGTTGCTTCGTCTTTCTTTACATGGTCGCAGCTGTCTTGAGGCCTTAGAGGAGTGGGGTGTGATCCAGGATGATGGACAGATCGAGGCACCCGGGTGTACACAGTCTTCTTCATTAAGGGCGGCTTAGTTTCCGCTTCAGCCTATGGCATGCTCTCATCATGGATAAGTCATGGTGTTCGTAAATGTCCACCACCCTTGCCCTGATGAAAACCCTTTTCGCGCGAGCGCTGACATGGTACCACTGCCTCTGTCTTATGCATACCTTGGACAATTCGGTTTGTATACGAAATTCAGCACATTCAGCACCGACAACCGCCTCCGGAAGTAATGCAAGCGACAAGGACGACGTGATCGACAGAAGGGGAAGGTGGATACTCATAAGTCGAACAACATATAGTGACGTGACTTTCATGTTCTTCATTATGCACCATGTGTAATTAGAGTTCAATTGTTTTCAATGCATTTCTGACGGAAGGCGGATGCTCATAAGTCGAGCAACATATTGTGATTTTAATTTCATGCTCTTCATTTTGATTCATTAGTGATTAGAGTTCATTGCTTTCAAAGTGTTGTTGGCGGAAGGCGGATGCTCATAAGGCGAACAACACATGGTGATTTCAATCTCATGTTCTGTATTGTGGATCATGAGCGATTAGAGTTTACTGCTTTCAACATGGTCGGTGTTGGTGGAAAGTGGATGCTCATAAGTCGCACATTGCGGTTCTCATGTTGTTCAAAATGAACCATGCGTGATTAGAGTTCATTGCTTTCAACGCATTCGGAAGGTGGATGCTCATAATGTGGTGCTTTCAATGTATTTTTCTCATCTTGATTAGTTGTCATGAGTGATTAGAGTTTATTGAAGCTTCCAACGCCTGACTGACCGACAAGATTTGACCACGACGTGCCTGCTTGGGACCTTTTCCGGTGTTTCCCTGCACCCTCTCACATCGAACATTTGTGTTCACATGCGCTGGGCGAACCATCACCAATGCTGAGGCGATGAAGTGAGTAAGAAAGTTGTGAAAAGTATGACGACGGAAAATCCCTCTTCCGCGCAGACTTGTGGACCTCTAGTTAAGTAGTGGGGGCAGGTCCATGATGCTGCCCTCATTTTGAGTCTTGCTCCAAATGCCTGTCTTATTGTAGCATGCAGAATGTAGTATGACATAGGTATAGATGCAGATGCAGCAGTAGTCGTGGCAGTAGTGGCAGTAGAAGAAGTAAAGTAGTAGGAGGAGGAGCGGCAGCAACAGCAGCAGTGGTGTAGTATGGGGTAGCATCGGGGGGAGTAGTAGTGCGAGTGGCAGCGGCAGCACTAGCAGCAGTAGTCGTCGTCTTCGTCATCTTCGTGGTAGTAGCAACTGAAGCAGGAGTGGCAGGAGCAGGGTAAGCCCTCAAGCCCGTGTTTGCAGAGACCAGGTCTTCGTGGATGCTTTTTCCAGGAAAGAAGAAGTGCGTTTCAAAAGCAATTGTCGAAACCCTGCAGATAATCACGGCCCACTCTTTTTTTCGGCTTTTCCTGTCCCCGTTTGCGTTTGTTGCTGCTGCTGTTGTTGTTGTTGTTGTTGCTGTTGCTGTTGCTGTTGCTGTTGCTGTTGCTGTTGCCGTTGCCGTTGTCGTTGTCGTTGTCGTTGTCGTTGTCGTTGTCGTTGTCGTTGTCGTTGTGGTGGTTGTGGTGGTTGTTGTGGTTGTTGTGGTTATTGTGGTTGTTGTTGTCGTTGTTGTCGTTGTTGCCGTT